TGTGTGTGTGTGTGTGACAGTGACAGTGACTGTGACGTGTGTGTGTGTGTGTGTGACAGTGACAGTGACTGTGAACGAATACTTACAGGTTGTGCGTGTACGTAAACCCGACGAACGGCAGGTGATGTCCCGTGAACGGCGTGTGAGCCTTGGGTGGAGCCGTGTCCTGTAATGATAACGAGCGTCAGCGTCGTTAGCGCGAGCGCTACGAGTGTTGTAACGATGCACTGAACTATCGATTAATCTCAATAGTGTTTGGCATTAATCGATAGCAATGCATCGATGACGAAACAGAACATTGATAACTATTGCAGATAATTCACTGAAGAATGGATAGTTCTTAGTAGTTGCACCATTTCAATACTAGCTATTTTATTTTGTTTACTGATAAAGATATGTTTTTGCACGAAAATATGTCTGAAAAAAACCATTACTAAGTATTCTGTCATTGATATAAATAATGAGACTGGTCCCACGGTCATCTATGCATGGTCCACTTAAGACCATTTGAATCACCAAATCAATTTTATTCTTTGCAGTGAAACAATATTGTACAGTCATTGATAAATAACAAGTACGAACAACAACACAATCCACAATTTTGTAAAACATCAACCCGATCGCAAAAGAAATGAAATAATGTTTACATTACTGAAATAGTATCCGCAATAGCACTGCAACTATCCGCAATAATATCTCAATAATAACATAGCAGCCAATAGTCACCTCTAGTGAGCACGTCAGGGTGCGGGCATGCTAGCGCGCGCATATCGTGGGTTAGTGCCCCGGGATGAATGAACCCTTTCCCGCTCCCCTATCGTTCCCACGGGCACTCAAAACGAAGCCATTCGAGAAAAAAAAACTCTCAACCTCTTTCCGTTTCAGTTGCCGTGACAAAATAATTGCCGGGGGAGCGCATGAGTGGGGCTCCCGATGCTCACCCCCCACCCCAGCACGCAGGCAGCACGGGGGCTCCCGATGATGCGGCCACGGCGAGCGAAGGCTGTTGCGCGTCGTTGGATACTCACGCACGGTTTGAAGTCGGACTCCTCGACATCGAAGTTCGACGTGTCCGTGGGGCTGCTGACCTCCGGCAGGTAGGGGGCGTTACCTGCAACGAAGCCAGCGCGCGGCATGACGAACGACAGCTAGTCAGCGACATGACATGGTCGAGTCATCATACAACAGCAGCAGCAGCGGCGGCATATGCAGGAGCGCCATCTCCTTCTCTCATTCTGTCTCTCCTTAACCTCTCCCTCCTCCCATGTGGTTACTCTCCTTTTCCCTCCTTTTCTTCACCTATCCACTGATGTCATCGCTTCTTCCCCTCCCCTTCTCTTCCCGTGCACTCACTGCCTCGTATGTTGTCTCTCCTGTCCCTTCTCCTCCCCTTATATTGCTCCTCCCTCATCCCCCCTTCCTCCGCTGTTATACCTCTTCCTCCTCCCCCTCCTCCCACGCTCTCCCTTCTCCCCCTTCCTCCCACGTGGTACCACCTTCTCTTCCCCCTTCCTCCCATGCTGCCCCTCCTCCCACACTAACCCTTCTCTTGCCCCCTCCTCCCACGCTATCCCTTCTCTTCCCCCTTCATCCCATGCTGCCCCTCCTCCCATGCTCTCCCTTCTCTTGCTCCCTCTCCTCCCCTCCTTCTCCCCTCTCCGCACACTCACCGTCGCGTATGTTGTCCCAGTCGATGCCCTTGAAGAACGGGTGCAGCTTGAAGTCGTCGATGCCTCCCTTGCCGAGCCGATGCTCCGGCGAGCAGCAGAGACGATTGATGAGGTCCATGGCTTCCCGCGAGCATCCCTCGCCGTTGTCCGGTAACACGAAGCGCTTCTGCAAGACAAAGGGTGTTTCGGTCACGAATGATCGGGAGCAAGACGACGGCGAGGGATTCATGAGAGATTCACTACGCGCGCGCGCTAAAACTGAAAGTGAAAGCATTTAAATAAAATTAAAAAAAAAGAATATTAGCATGAGTCTAAGAGGATATACAATAATCACATAATTATCAATATAACATATGAAACCTAATTCCGGACTTTCGTAAGTTTGGGATACACTGTGTCAGCTGAACATTCTCGTACTCGTTTCCCATTAGCGTGTGATTAACAGGAAAATCACTGACCATCCTCAGTGAGCACCAGACGCTCGTAACATGAGATATATGCCGCCTTGAGAGCTTCAGATAACGTGACTCTGCGATACGAACGGGGGTGGGTGGGGGCAGTAATGGTAACGTATATAAGTACCATGTACTGATGAGCACTTAGGAGGTGCGTAATGCAGCACTGTGTGAAGTAATGCAATACGCAGGAGGGTGAGTGTAGGGGTGATCAGTTTCAGCAGACTCTCACTCTTCGACCGGTCAGACGCCCACACAGAACGAAGAATGAATAGCGGGGGCATACTCAGCAGCAGCAAGCTGTAGCAAACGGGTAATACTTAACGTCAGTAGTTTCAGTCTATTCACTAATAACAGCCTCAGACTCGGAGCAATGTTCCATCGCACTCAACAGATCAACAGATTGCGATTTAGCTGCTGCTGTTGATACCTGTTGGACTTTTTTCTCTCGCATTATTTCTGCAATTACCAGCCAATCTTCTGCTTCGTCGTTTTTACCGAACCCAGAACGCGATCACGCAGAACAATAAACAATAAACACAATAATATAATATCACTTGAGCCGGCCCGATTTAGCGGCGAGTGACGTCGGCGTTTTTTCTGTGATTTGCGCAGCGCGAGGGGTCGCATACGGGGTCATGGGGTCACCGACAGTTGACAACTCAGCATCGTTGTACGTCGGCTGTGTTCGAGATAGCAGCCCCGTGCCTTCATCCAGCGCTGGTCGGGTTTCATGATGAAAACTGGCACATTTCTTGCATGATTTATCGCTGTGTATTTCACCATCAGTTACATGTTATAGAAATTGAAAGTATTCGAGATCAGCCGGATGATGGCTGGGTTTTCAGACTTGTTTTCGAGACAGTCAGGCTCGGCAAAGACAGATGTAAGCGCTTTTATTACCAATTAACACCCAGCCGAGACTAATGAAAGCCCACCGGCGATTGACACGCCGATTTAGCGTCGCAGCTCAGCTTTCTCCCGGTTAACCAGCAGCAGCAACAGCAGCAGCAACAGCAGCAGCAGCAGCAGCAGCAGCAGTAGCAGAGCAGCAGCAGCAGCAGCAGTAGCAGAGCAGCAGCAGCAACAGCAGCAGCAGGAGCAGTAGCATGGTTCATACAGGAAGACTGAAAAAAATTTCAAGGACTTTTTATCGGAAATTCAAGGACATTTTATCGGACATTTTATCGGAATTCATACACAGAACAAAACATACCTGGATTAATTTAATAATAACCCCATTCTTAATCACGGTCACCTCTAAAACTTACCTGGATCACATTAATAAACCTTTCTAAACACTGTCATTTCTACAACATACCTTGATTTAATGACAGATTTTACTGACTTACTGTAATTTGTGATCATCATTTAACTGTCTATCGTGTTTATAGCTTTTTAAGCTCATTTAATGCAATTTTTATTGAGGTTTGCACATGGTACAAAATTTCTTTTTATTACAGGTAAGGATTCTTTCTAAAAAAAATTCTAAATTCTTGAAAATTCTAGACATTTTCATGAAATTCAAGGACTTTTCAAACACAAAATCAACATTTACTAAATTCAAGTACTTTTCAAGGACTCCCCTCAAATTCAAGTACTTTTCAAGGACTCCCCTCAAATTCAAGGACTTTTCAAAGACTGTGTGAACCATGACTGTAGTAGCAGGAGCAGCCGATCTTCGTTACTGCTGCGCCATGTCTTGCACTTTCACCAGAATACGGAAGATTTCTTGCATTCGCGCGAAAGAAACATTTAGACGTTCGCGTCAACATATTTATAGACGCCTGCTGTCTCTCGCGAGCGCGTTTCGCCGGAAATCCGAAACCCATTTTACCCAACAAAACCTCGGCTCCGGCACAGAATCCACGCCAACCCCCGATCACACGCGAAAAGATGGAGTGGCGTAGCCGTGGCGATGCGGAGAACCCTGACGATGCGAGCACGAGCGTAACCGCGGCAACAGGAAGAAACCCGGCGACGATGGCGCGAGCGTAACCGCGGCAACGTCCGCATTTCATCGTCTCCGTTTTTCTTCCGAGAGTGCGACGACAGGAAGGAAGTGCAATAGAGCGCGGGTGCTTGCTTCGAGAAGCTGCGTGTTCAATGAGGATGAGGAAGAGGAGAATGAGAGCAGCTGCGGGGAGCATCCATTCTCGTGCGTCAATTTACTTCCTGCCTCTTCACTCGAAAATAAACCGTGTCGCTCAGATCGCATCCCGAGCGAGCGAACGCTAAACCCACCCTACGCTCACCACCCGTGACCCCTCTCCCAAAGCTGCCAACGCACTTGCCCCCATACTGCAAGACCACCAAACCTCTCACTCCCCCACTCCACGAGCAACCCCGCCACTCATGCCAGCTTCACTAACACGCGCACGGACTGGCACATACACGACCAACCTACTCCTCTCTTTCACACCCACAGGAGGCATAGCATAGCATCAGGGGTGTATAATATAGACCTAAGTGTATAATATAGAGCTATACTAGTCTATACTAGTCGGATATACAGTAAACACCCGCATAAAAGATCCCGTGATTTTCTGTTTCTGGCTGAACTGGTTCTTATATATGTGATACATAGTGAGAAATCAGCCTGAAGAGGTTCTTAAAGAGGTTCTTAATTTTTATTTTTGGGGGGGGATATTATCTTAATAATTGACACTGTTGATGTCATTGACGATGAACTACATGTTGTTGGTTTCCAATGGTATAGCACACATACTTGGATTGCGCCAGTTTGCTCTAATTTTCGGTATTTTTTTCATATAAGAACCTGCTTAATTTATCAGGCTGAAGTGGTTCTTATATACTAGACCTGTGCTTTATTGGTCCAATTTCAGCCTGGAGGTTCTTAATCCACAGTTTTATATCAAGAGTCCATAATAGTAAAATTCTCTATGGAAATTTTCTCTATGGAAAAATTCTTCATGCAAATGTTCTATTATGGAGTCGTCTATATCATACACTCCTGATAGCATCCCACCCTTGCAGCTTTCGTGATGCATATGTTGGCCGACTGGCGGACTGAGCGTGGCTTCCGTGAGCTCACGCTCGCACGACGGTCCGCTCGCGACTCCAATGATCGGCTCTCCGCATCGGAAGCAGGTCATTG